TGGATCTGTATCCCTCTGCTCCCTGCCCATTCATGTATCTATCTAGATACATTTTAAATGATACTATTGTGCCCACCTCTACCACCTCCGCTGGCAATGCGTTCCAGGCACCCACCACCCTCCGCGTAAAGAACTTTCCACGCATATCTCCCTTAAACTTTTCCTCTCTCACCCTGAAATCATGACCCCTAGTAATTGAGTCCCCCACTCTGGGAAAAAGCTTCTTGCTATGCACCCTGTCTATACCTCTCATGATTTTGTAGACCTCAATCAGATCCCCCCTCAACGTCTGAAGAGGCTTCGCAGTGGGGTTAAAATTGTATCAGAGATAGTAGGAACTGCAGATGCTGGAAAATCTGAGATAACAAGGTGTAGAGCTGGATGAACACAGCAGGCCAAGCAGCATCATAGGAGCAGGAAGGCTGATGTTTTGGGCCTAGACCCTTCATCAGAAATGGGCATCCTTAGAAGAGGCTTCGCAGTGGGGTTAAAATTGTATCAGAGATAGTAGGAACTGCAGATGCTGGAAAATCTGAGATAACAAGGTGTACAGCTGAATGAACACAGCAGGCAAGGGTCTAGGCCCGAAATGTCAGCCTTCCTGCTCCTATGATGCTGCTTGGCCTGCTGTGTTCATCCAGCTCTACATCTTGTTACCCCCCTCAACCTCTGTCTTTCTAATGTAAATAATCCTATTCTACTCAACCTCTCTTCATAGCTAGCGCCCTCCATACCAGGCAACATCCTGGTGAACCTCCTCTGCACCGTCTCCAAAGCATCCACATCCTTTTGGTAATGTGGCAACCAGCACTGTACACAGTATTCCAAATGTGGTCGAACCAAAGTCCTATACAACTGTAACATGACCTGCCAACTCTTGTACTCAATACCCGATCCGATGAATGAAAGCATGCCGTATGCCTTCTTGACCACTCTACCCACCTGCGTTGCCACCTTCAGGGTACCATGGACCTGAACACCCAGATCTCTCTGTGCATCAATTTTCCCCAGGGATTTTCCATTTACCGTATAGTTCGCCCCTGAATTGGATCTTCCAAAATGCATCACCTCGCATTTGCCTGGATTGAACTCCATCTGCCATTTCTCCGCCCAACTCTCCAATCTATCTATATTCTGCTGCATTCTCCGACAGTCCCCTTCACTATCTGCTACTCCACCAATCTTAGTGTCATCTGCAAACTTGCTAATCAGACCATCTACACCTTCCTCCAGATCATTTATGTTTGTCACAAACAACAGTGGTCCCAACACGAATCCCTGTGGAACACCACTGGTCACAGTTCCCCATTTTGAGAAATTAACCTGGATTCTCCCACAGCAGTAACCCTGCATTCCCTCCACACTGCCCCTTCACTCCCTCAGGACACCTCACTACCTTAATACCATTCCCCCAGATAAACCAGGACAAACAAATGTTGTGCCCAACTCCTTCACCCATTGATGTCCTTACAGAAGACATGCCACAAGAGGGGAGAGTAAAGAAAAACCATTGGGAGGGTGGTTCTAGATGTGAGACCCCAACCCCCCATGAGGTGGGGATACTTGCCGCAGATGGAGAGGATTGGGACAGGTCCTGAGAGAGTGCAGGGGCATCCCTGTCCCAACAACTGAGTAAGTACCACTGTAGAGGCAGCGAAAGCCTGGCACTCACCAGGCAGTCAGGGCCTATCTCTGACCTGTAGCTGCGGTGCCTTTCTGTGTCGAACAGTTGCAGCCAGTTTCTGAGCTCCTCAGCTGAGAGGAAACCATTCCCCCAAGGAGGAGGCCTGCTCAGCCTTCAAGGAAGGGTTTGGAGGAACCCTCACTAAAGCTGAGAGCCCCAGCAGCAGCGACACTCCCTAGGCTAAGGGAGAGGGCGATGGTGAGGAGCTCACACTCACTGTGGTATCGTGGATGAAGCCAGAGGAATGCTGGGGATGACTCAGCCTCCAGCATATGAGGACCCTGTGGCCTGGCAATCAGGTACATCGTCTGCACATTCAGAGAGGATCAGGAGTGGCCAGTGGGTTTCTGGGGCACTATGGCTCACCTCACTGAGAAGCTGGAGCATAATTGCCACTCCAGCGTCCATCCATCTGCCTGCATCCCATCAGCGGCTGCCATGGAGAGATGACCCAGCCCCCGCACAGGCTGCTGGAGGGCTCACACACACACCCACACTCTATTGGCCCAGCTCTGAGGCCAGGACAAGAGTGCCTGAGGAGGCTTGCACAGTGCCAGCCTCACAGAGAGAAAATGCAGTGGCTGGAGGTACCCCAGTGGAGGAGGAACTACACATAAGCCCCTTGGCAGTGTCCATGCAGGCACTGCAGAAGTGCCCAGGCCCTCCATCCTCACTTTGATTTCCTTCCAAATCCCTCAACACTTGGAGGTTTGGATGCCTCAGGCAAGAAAACCCTCATTATGTCTGGTCCATGTACAGTCACCCACCAAGTGTTCAGGGCCACTGTTACAGCACAGGTTCCTTGCAGTCAATCTGCTCAGTTGGCGGGGGGGGCGGTCAGTGAGGGCACTGTGAGATCGGAAGGAGGAGAAAGGTTTTGTGCAGGCACATAGGCCCCATCGGTGGCATTTTGACTTTGTGATAAAGGTTTGTTTTTCACTGTTCGTGATTAGCCAACTCTCCGTGTAGAGCCTAAATTCTTCATGGTGCCCCTCTCCTCAGTCCCTTAGGATGTCCGATGTCAGGGTATGAATGAACTCCAATAGCATCATGAGGAGTAGGCGTGCGGCATTGACTCTCTCCAACACCTGAGAGCTCGCCCTTCAACATTGCACACTGTCTGCAGGCTGTGTCTACCTCTGGTAGCTCCCCAGCAGTATTGAGAGTCAGACAGAGTCAATGCTGTACCATGTCCAGGGGCTAATCAGCCTGAAGCTTCTGTCATCAACATCACATGTTTTTTTCTCATTTATTCATGGGATAAGGGCGACATTCGTTGGACCAGCATTTATTGCCCATTCCGAATTACCTGGAGGTAGTGAGGAGTCACATGTAGGCCAGTCAAGGTAAGGATGGCAAATTTCCTTCCCTGAGTGAGCCAGATGGGATTTTCCAACAGTCCACACCAGCATCATGGCCATCAGTAAATTCTTAATTCAAAATAAAATCTGAAAGAACTGCGGACGCTGTAAATCAGGAACAAAAACAGTAGTTGCTGGAAAAGCTCAGCAGGTCTGGCAACATCTATGAAGAAAACATCAGAGTTAACATTTTGGTGACCCATAAGCCTGTTATTAAGCCTGCCGATAAGGGTGGTGCTGTTGTAGTCTGGTGTACTGACCTCTATATTGCAGAGGCTGAGTGCCAGCTCTCAGATACCTCCTCCTATCTTCCCCTGGACCATGACCCCACCAGACACATCAGGTCATTGTGTCTACTACAGTAACTAATCTCATTTCATCTGGTGACCTCCCCTCCACTGCTTCCAAGCTGATTGTCCCCCAGCTCTGCACACCTCGCTTCTACCTCCTCCCAAAAATCCACAAACAGGACTGTCCAGGCAGACCCATTGTTTCAGCCTGCTCATGCCCCACAGAACTCATCTCTTCCTACCCTGACTCAGTCTTCTCTCCCTGGATCAATCCCTACCCACATACGTCCGTGATTCCTCTGACGCCTTACGCCAGTTTCAAAACTTCCAGTTTACCAGCTCCAGCCTCCTCTTTACCATGGACATGCAATCCCTTTACACTTCCATTCCCCACCAGGAGGGTCTTAGGGCTCTCCACTTCTTCCTGGAGCAAAGACCTGAACCGTCCCCACCCACCACCACCCTCCTCCGCTTGTCCGAGCTCGTCCTCGCCCTCAACTCTCTTTTCACTCCTCTCATTTCCTTCAGGTCATTTATGCCTGTCTCTTTGCAAGGTACATGGAACATTCCTTGTTCCAGTCCTATTCTGGTCCCCACCTGCAACTCTTTCTCCGATACGTTAACTCTGATTTTTTTCTCCACAGATGCTGCCAGACTTGCTGAGCTTTTCCGGCAACTTCTGCTTTTGTTCTTAATTCCAAATATTTTTAATGAATTGGTGAACATCCCCACTTCTTCCATTGGTAGCGAATGAGGGGTGGGGTACAGTTGGCAGTGAGTTCTCTGTTACTGTATAAATGTTGTTTTCCCTTTAGTTTGGCATTTCTTGCAAATTGTCCTGATGAGGATAAAACATAAAGATTCTTTTTTCACCAACACTCAGGATTCTCACTACTAAACGACTGTTTATACAAAATTGTCAGATAATAACAAAGATAACTTACAAATTTTTTTTTTACATTGTATACATCATTTGTGAATTAAACTTGACTTCCTCTTTCGTAGCTGCTGAACGCAAAATCTTTCTCCCGCACACTGCACTGGGCAGGGGTATTGGTGTAGTCGTGGTACTGTTACTGGACAAGTAACCCAAGTGCACAGGAAAATGCTCTAGGAGCAAGGTACGATACCTCAATGGTAAAATTTGAGTTCACTAGGACCTCTTAAGTTGCTGAGCTTGTCCTGCTGAGAGACACTGAGGGTAAGGTAGAGATAGCAAAGATGGAAACTGCTCTGCTTCAGACAAAGGGCTGGATTTTTCTTGTGAGGGTAAAGTCAGTGGGGTTGACTGGTTTTCCCAGTGTGAGAACTCATGTAAAAAAAATACATTAAGGAAATTTGGGTTATTGCAGAATCTGAAGCGTCAATGGGGGATTTTAAAGGGACAGTACTGGACCCAAATAGGAAGAAAAGTGAAATTTCTGCAAGGTGGATTGAAGCACCAGGCAAACAGGCAAGACAGTGCAATTACAATATGTGTTGACATAGGCATTTTCCATAATGTGGATCAAGAAATTCCTTATGATAAAAAAGTTGAATAAAATGTGACAGCAAGAAGCAAGATTCCATAAACAAGGAGACATATATAGACGTAAGATTTTTTAATAATCTTTAGGTATGTAAAATGTAGGGAAAACATTTAAAAAAACTAATTTTACAGCAACCTAAAAGCACATCCTTAGAATTTAGCTTTTTAAATGATTACACTATGGCCTTTCTCTAACAGGAAATGTCAGCATTAAAATGTAACTTGGTTACATCAACAGAGCAAATGGATAAAACTCCTTTCTCAACCCGCTCAAAAGCAACAATATAATCAGAAATCAAGAAAATGGGAAACTCAAGTCACACATAGTGATGCACTCATCATAACCATTCACCGTCAGGGCTGGGTAAAGTGGTTCAGTGAAGGTTTGCTGGTGAAAAGAGTACAACAGGAATAGTTTCTTGTCAGACACATTGTAAAACGAGATGACTCCAGCCTCAAATTCCACCAGCACTCCCACTCTGGCTGGGTTTCCAGTGGATAGTATTGTTTTGTTTCCGTTGTGCAGAGCAGTACAGGAGCCCAGCAGTGAGCACACACTCCATGACTTATTGTTCATTCCCAGTGAGCACTCAGACCCTGGACCCTTCCGGCTCAGACTCCTGTAACAAACGCCAACTCTCCAACATTCACCGGGAACCTCCACCTCCCAGTAAGAACGGCCATGGTTCACACTGTTAGCACACAGGACCTGTGGGAAACAGTCGAATCGTCCTGGGCTCTCAGCACACTTTGGCTTCTGTCGAGTGAGTGTCACATTCCTCTTATTGTGGGATACAACCAGTTGAGGGTGGGCTGTGAATGGATCCAGATTTGGGGTTTGGCCATCTGTGAATAGAAACATGGAATCAGAGGAAATTCTCAGCCCTTGCTGTAGGAAGTTGCTCGGAGGCACTGGTGTGGCTCAGAGAGTGTGAGCTAGTGAGGGACGGGCTGTGGGGGGACGTTAACCAAGGGACATCATAGCAAAATCACAGAATTGCTATTGGGCAGGAGGAGGCTGTTCAGCCCGTCGTATCTGCGTCAGCTCTCGGAATGACTGAGCGCCTTTCACCTGTTTTTCTCCCAGTCCCACACATTCTTAGCATAATTATCCAATGCCCGCTTTTTTTCCCTGATGAAGCCTGCCTCCATCACACTGCCAGGCAGTATATCCAAACCCTAACCATGCCCCGTGTCAGCTGGTTTGGTTTTTATGTCAATGTGTGTGCTGACACTTGGTGCCACATGTGTGCCAAACGTTTCCATGAAAACGAAGGATAAGACAGGCAAGATTCAGGAACCTGAAATGGATGACAAGAGAAATTGAGAGCTTAGACAAAAAGGAAACAGGAGTTACAGGGAAAAACAGAAAACAGACAGAGCCTTTGAAGAATATAAAGCAAGCGGGAAAGAACTCAAACAAGGAATTAGGAGGGCTGAACGGGGCCATGAAATGTCTTTGGCAAACAGGATGAAGGAAAAAACCCAAAAGAACTGCAGATGCTGTAAATCAGGAACAAAAACAAAGTTGCTGGAAAGCTCAGCAGGTCTAGCAGCATCTGTGAAGGAAAAAACAGAGTTAACGTTTCAGGTCCAGTGACCCTTCCTCAGAACTGATGGTGGCTGGGAAAACGTCAGTTTATATGCAGGAAATAGGGAGGTGGGTGGGGTAGGGAGTAAACGATAGGATAGGGCCCAAAGAGAGAGAAAGACAGTTGGACAGACAAAGGAGTTGCTAACGATCAGGCTGGGAGGGTGAGTAGTTGTTAA